GGCGACTGGGCCCTGGGGGTGGCCCGGGACTCCCTGCCCAGGAAGGGCCGCCCAACTTTGGGGCCCCAAGGAGGGATTTGGGGCCTGGAGCGCTGGGGGGGGCAGCTGAGGGCGCTGACCCCCCGAAAAGTGACCCCGTTGCCCCTGCGCCGGGTGCCCCGCAGGGTCAGCGTCCACCTGGACTACCCCGCGGGCACCGTGGCCTTCTTCGATGGGGAGGAAGGAGGAGGAGGAGGAGGAGGAGGAGGAGGAGGAGGGGGGGGGCTCCTCTTCCTCTTCTCCCGAGCGGCTTTTGCCGGGGAGAGGGTCCGGCCCTGGCTGTGGGTGGTGGGGGCAAGGGCGCAGCTGAGGGTGTGCCCGTGATGGGAGGGGGGGATATGGAGGGGTTCCCATTGGGGACCAGCAAAAAGCACTCAGGGACCAGCAAAACTCCTCAGGAATCAGCAAAACCCCTCAGGAATCAGCAAAAATCTTCAGGAACCACCAAAAACCACTCAGGAGCCATCAAAAACCACTCAGGAACCACCAAAACCCCTCAGAAACCATCAAAAACCCCTCAGGAACCATCAAACCCCCTCAGGAACCATCAGGAATGCTCAGGAATCATCAAAACCCCCTCAGAAACCACAAAAACCCCTCAGGAACCACCAAAGCCACTCAGAAACCACCAAAACCCCTCAGGGACCATCAAAAACCCCTGAGGGACCACCAAAACCTCTCAGGAACCATCTAAAACCACTCAGGAACCACCAAAATTCCCTCAGGAACCACCAAAACCGTTTTTTACTTCATCTCAAAGAGGGGAGAGGAGGGGTCAGGATATGGGGGGACAGACGTGGCTCTGCTTCGTTTCGGGGTTTCCCTAGTTTTGAGGAGGATTCCATGGTGCCAATGCTTCATTTGGGGGTTTCCCTATTTTTGGGGTGGTTCCTACCGTGCCAATGCTTCGTTTTGGTTTTTTCTTTATTTCTGGGAGAATTCCATCATGCCAATGCTTCATTTTGGGGTGTCAGTGTTTCGTTTTGAGGTTTAGATGCTTCGTTTTGGGATTTCCCTATTTTTGGGGTGGTTCCCACTGTGCCAACGCTTCGTTTTGGGGTTTCCCTATTTTTGGGAGGATCCCATCATCCCAATGCTTCCTTTTGGGGTTTCCCTATTTTTGGGGTGATTTCCATCACACCAACGCTTCATTTTGGGGTTTCCCTATTTTTGGGGCGGTTCCCATCCTGTCAATCCTTCATTTTGGGGTTTCCCTATTTTTTGGGGAGGATTCCATCATGACAATGCTTCCTTTTGGGGTTTAGATGCCTCGTTTTGGGGTTTCCCTATTTTGGGGCGGGATTCCTTCACTCCAACGCTTCGTTTTGGGGTTTCTTTACTTCCGGGACAATTCCATCGCGCCAATGCTACATTTTGGGGTGTCTCAGGGGCACAGGTCGATCCGGGCTCCCTCCCCCCACACCAGGAACCAGGGGTGCACCCTCCGCCCCCCGAACGAGGCCGCGGGGAAGGCAAAGATCAACTCCCTCCTCTCCCCGTCGAAAAAAGCCACCCGGCCCCCGTCGTGGTCCAGGGCCACCCTCACCCTCCTGGGGACCCTCACCCGCCCCAGGGGCACCCGCTCCAGGGCCGTGAGCGCCCAGAGCTGCCCCTGGCACAGCCCCATGGACCACAGCTCGCCCGGGGGGGTCTCCGGGGCCACCCCAAGAGCCCACGAGCCCCGGGGCGACACCTCCACGTCCCAGCAGCGGCGCCCGGAGGTGACGCCCGGGTGGCCCCGCACCGAGGGGTCGGGGTTGGGGTCAGGGTTGGGGTCAGGACCCTCCTCGGGGGGGTCCTGGGGGGGTTTCGGGGAGGAGTCCCAGTGGTCAGAGGGGTTGGGGTCGAGCCCTTCTTCGGGGGGGTCCTCCAAGGGGTTTTGGGGGGGGTCCCAGTGGTCCGAGGGGTCGGGGTCAAACCCCTCCTCAGGGGGGTCCTTGGGGTGTTCCGGGAAGGGGTTTGAGGGGTCAGAGGGGTCGGGGCCAAGCCCCTTCTTGGGGGGGTCCTGGGGGGGTTTCGGGAAGGGGTCCCAGTGGTCAGAGGGGTTGGGGTCAAACTCCTCCTCTGGGGGGTCCTCGGGGTGTTCCAGGAAGGGGTTCAAGGGGTCGGAGGGATCGGGGTCGAGCCCCTCCTCGGGGTGGTCCTGGGGTGGCTCCTCAGGGGGGTCTTCAGGGGGGTCCTGGGGGGGTTCCCACCTCACGCTGAGGCCGTTGGGGGCCACCACGAGCTGCGGGTGGGCCGTGGAGGGGTCCAGGGTCACCAGAACTGCCGGGGGGGGGGGGGAAAGAGAGGGATTGACCCCAGGGCATCTCCCGGACCGTCCTCGGGGGGATCTTCACCCTCCGCCCACCCCCTGCTCCTCCGGCACTTCCCGGGGAGGATTCCCTGATTCCTCGGGGAGTTTTTCCCACCCAGAGAGGATTCCCTGATTCCTCAGAGAGTTTTTCCCACCAGGAGAGGATTCCCCTGATTCCTGGGGGAGTTTTTCCCTCCCTTCCCACCGAGAGAGGATTCCCTGATTCCTCAGGGAGTTTTTCCCACCCAGGAAGG